GTGTTGCATCTTCAAAAACGAAATCCGTTCTATCTTGTGAGACAATTGCTTATCAACCTTAAGCACCGAGAGGGAGTAAATTTGTTTTAAGAAAACTGTGATTAGATAGTGCTCAGATTATTGTTTTTATTATTGAATTTATAATTTTTTTTGGATCTTACTATTTGTGTTGTTCTGAATCAATGTAAGTGCACTAGTTTTAATTTCTATATATTATGTTTAAATTAGTGCATAAGTTAAACTTTATATAGTTTGATATAATTAATTATACACATATTTCTTTAACAAGCACAACCCATATTTTAATGCTCTCAAGCAGCTAGAACAAGATGAACCCATTGAATTCTCACGACAGATCCACCTCCTGCTCTCCCTAGATTCCCTTTGGATGCCCCATCCACGTTCAGCTTCAAAGAACCACACAAAGGAGAAACCCAGTTTACCCAAATAGCCTTCACCATTACTTTCCCAGTATTCTCCACTCCTAGATCTTTTAGCACCTCCTTCCCCACTACTTTGTCTTGTACCTCTGGCTTAACATTGTAAGCCTGCAATCTCAATATCGAACAAATTCTTAAGAAGATAGCATAAGCAGACATCCTACCTTCATCAAAGATCCTCCTACACCTCTCCCTCCATATTTGCCAATATACCACTAGAGCCAAACCTCTAAGCAAAAAATTACTCATCGACTGATTCTTGAATATTCTCATCAATCTCATCAATAGAAATTCATTAATTATTATCTGAAAGCCACACAAAGCAGCCAAATTTCCCCACACTAAGGCAAAAAATTCAAATTGAACAAACAGATGGATTGCAGACTCCTCCTCATGACGGCAAAGAGGATATTTGCTGGCCAGGCTAACACTAATCCTTCGGATTCTTGTCTCCATAGGCACAACATTTATGCTCATTCTCCAACCAAAGAGTTTAGTTCTAGAAGGGGCACTTTGCTTTCCATATGGAAGCTAACACATCATTTACAGCCACAGGACATCTTAATAATTCCCAAGTAGATTTAACAGTAAAAGCCCCAAATCAGTCAGTTTCCACACCAATTGTCATGCTTCCTAGACAGATAGATCCCAGAATTGATAACCTCATTCTTGATCTGGTCTGGCACCTGAATTCCCACCTTATGCCATTGCCATTCTGATTCCTCCAAAACCTCATAGACTCAAGGAAGAGTTGTGGAATTTCATCCACTCTATTTAATAATGGCCCTGAACCTAACCAATTGGAGCACCAAAAATCCACATTGTCCCCATTACTAACAAAACTTTGAGAGTTGACAACAATCAAATTAAACCAAGGCTGCAGCATTCTAAAACATTTCAATTTACTTTGGGCACTACTTCTCAACATATGCTGTTTTTTAAGAAATTTTACAGAAAAAACCTTGGCCCAAAGAGACTTTCCCTACAACACTCTCTATGTCTGCTTCATTCTAAAGGCTTTATGAACATCCTCAAACTCTTTATACCCAAACCCCTTTCAATTTTTACCAAGAAACCCAATGCATTTTTCTCATCTTTGCCTTTCTAGACCAAACAAAAGATGCCATCAAAGAATTCAATCTTGCAAGAATTCTTTTAGGCAAATTCAGGCAAGACAATAGATGTATAGGAACAACACTCAACACATGTTGAACCAAAATCACTTTCCCTATGTTGGATAAGAGCTTGGCATACCACCCTTCCAACCTTGATCTAAATTTCAAAACAACATCTTCAAAGTCTCTAATTCTACACCTACCTTTAATCAGGGAACAATTAAGATAGGTTATAGGACATTCCTTGCATGGTATCTGAGCCACTCTAGATAATGCAATCCTTTTACTCTGAGAGATCTTTGAAGAACAAATAAGAGAACTCTTCTGCTTACTCACCCTTTGCCTTGAACTCTCTTCATGTTTGCCCAGAAACTCCATAAGCTGCTCCATAGATTTCTTATTACCCCTTAAAAACAATAAAGTATCATCTGCAAAAACCAAATGAGAAATAACTATGGAACCTCTCCCAATATGAAAAACTCTTAATCGTTCTAGTCTCAAACATTTTAGTCAAAAACCTGTTGAGTACTTCTTCAGCCAAAATGAAAAGAGAAGGAGAGATGGGATCCCCTTGTCTCAATCCCCCTGAAGTTGGTAAATAACCTTGTCTTTGTCCATTCAAACACACATAAATGAATTGGTTGTTCAAGCAGTTTCCAATAATTGAAACAAAAAGTTCAGAAAAACCAAAATATCTGAGGGATTTCTTCAAAAATTCCCATTCCAATATATGGTACGCCTTCATCATATCTAATTTTACCATTATATTTCCAGCCTCAAATTTATTATCCATCTCACTAACCATGAATTGAGCTAGAGAGATGCAGTCACCAATGCTTCTACGTTTAACAAACCTATGATGAACTTTAGAAATCAAGCTAGGCAATACACAAGCCAACCTATTAGCAAGAACTTTAGTCAGTATTTTATACAAAAAGTTGCACAAACTGATTGACCTGTATTCTGCAAAAGAAGAAGGATTTGTCTTATTAGGGATTAAAGCTAACAATGTAGCATTTACAGATCGAGGCACCACCCATCCTTTCAAAAAGAAGTTCATAGCCAATAACAAATCAGCCTTAACAACATCCCAAGCCACCTGAAAAACTTCCCAAAAAAACCATCAGCTCCTGGTGCACTCTCCACAGACATTGAAAAGACCACTCACTTCAATTCCACCATGGTAGCTTTCTTTGTTAGACTATCATTGTCTGAAGAACTAACCAAACTAGGGATTGCTTCAAACAACTCTTCCTCCATCTTATAAGACTCTAATTGATAAAAAGTAGCAAAGAAAAAGATAGCTTGTTGAGCAATGGCAGACTCTGAATAATGCCATTCTCCTACCTCATCTCTGATTCATCTAACTTTATTCCTTATTGTCTTCCTTTTAGCAATGGCATGATAGAACTTTGTATTTCTTTCCCCTTCTAAGGCCCATTTCATATTAGCTTTCTATATCTGGTGCAACTTTTCCAACCTCAGTGTTTCTTCAAAAACTTCATTTTTCAGAAAGAATTTTTCAATAGGGTTATTTGAATAGCAACCTTTCTAGTTTACAATAACCAAAAGCAAGAAAGAATCATATTCAACCCACATATCCAAGAACTTAAAGTAAGAGTCTCTTTGATAGGCATTAGAACCTATTACCTTAATCCATAATGGACAATGATCAGAATTCGCCCTTGCCAGATGAACCACCTAAGTACTGGCAAATTTATCATTCCAACCTAAATTCATGAATACCCTATCCAACCTTTGCCATATCCTTGGTCCTCCTTGGTGATTATTACACCAGATATGTAATACTTAAACTCTTCAAGTTTAAAATATTATATTTAGACAAAAAATATTTCAATCAAAGCTAAAATATCAAATATTTTAAATTTTATAATCAAAATTCGTGTTCTATTATGAAATTTATTGAAATAAAATCAAAAATAAAAATCTATTTTTTACTTAAAAATCATAATTAGTATACAATTATACTATCTATTAAAATAAAACTAAAAAATTAAACAAGGGATCTAAGTCTTCATAAAAGAACATGAATTTTGATTATAAAATTCTTGTTCTATTATGTCATTTATTAAAATAAAAATAAAAATAAAAATCTAATTTTTCTTAAAAATCATAATTAATATGCAATTATACTATCTATTGAAATAAAATTAAAAAATTAAATAAAGGGTTAAACTGTAATGGACATAATATCTTCTAACTTTAATTGGGGTAATTTGATAAATGATATAATAAAACATGAATTTTAGTTGTAAAATTTAAAATATTTGATATTTTATATTCGATTAGAGTATTTTTTATCTAAATATAACATTTTAAAATTGAGAGGTGTAAGTATTATACGCTTATAAATTTTAGGGGATCTAGGTGGGCAGAGTTCTGGGTATTGTTAGGTTTGCACTTGGACGGCCCGACCCAAATTCAACCCGAGCCTAACTTGAAAAAAAAGACTTGAGTTAGAATTTTTAATTCTTGAGTTGGGTCGAAAAAATTCAAGCTGAATTGAATTTGGGCAAGCCTCGGATTAAGGTTTCAGATTGTCGGGCTCAACCCGAATATTAAAATTGGATTGAATCTGATTATTAAATCTAGTTGAACCCGAATATACATAAATATATAAATATATTTAACTAGAATTAATATTTATTTTCACTATTTACAATCCAAATTTTCACTTCACTTCAAGTCTTTACTTCTGCGCCTCCATAACTCTCAGATCCCTCTCTTACTCGTCACTCCTCCCTCTCTCACCTTTCCTCTCTCAATCGTCACTCGTTTGAGTCGTCTTAGACTCTCAGGCTCCCTATCTCACTTGTCACTGTTCCCTTTCTCACTCCCTCTCTCATCATTTGCACCTCACTTTTCATCTCAGATTACTTAAAAAAATTAGATCTATATTTGAAAAAAATCAAATTTACGCTTTAAAAAATCAACTCGAATTAAATAACCTAAGATCAACCCAATTTTTAACCCAAAATCAGCCCTTAATTCAACCTGAGTCAACTTGAATTAAAGTACTCGAATTAAGATAAGAGTAGAGTTAAAATTAAAATTAAAAATTATATAGTTAAAGTTGATTTAGGGTTGCCCTTTCAACCCCCACCCGCCGGAGGTGCACCCTCGGCATTGCACAACTTGAATTAACGATTGAGGAATTCCCCCAAAAGATAAACGTGTTTTAAGGAATCTATCACTCGTAGACGGTGAACCTTGGAAGTATTGAGAAATTCGAATTCGACGATTGCTGGTTCTGATGACGGTGGTGGCGGGGCTATTCACGGTTTGGAAAGGCCTCCATCATCTCTGAAGAGGCGGCATCTGATTTCAGCGTAAGTCCCCATTGACCATGAATTGAGTTTGAATACTCCCAATTTCTTTAGGCATTGTACTAAACATATGTTTCGTAGTTGCGAAAGTAGTTAAAATGGACGAGGCGTCGTGGTCGTCGTTGGTGGGAGAATTGATAAGGAAGGAAGTGGGAGATTGGGACGATGAGTTAATGGCGAATGCGAGATTCAAGGCGTTTAGCGGCCAGAGGTCCGATTGGGAGCATAAGTACTTGTTCTGGAGGGACTTGATCCTCAAGGTCGCTCGGCACCTCGGTCTTTTTATCATTCGTCCTTCCCAGGTTTAAACTCTCAACCAATCCAGTCTTATTGTTTTTCAATTTAAAATTAACACTTGTTGTGCGTTAGATTTACTGTCTTTTGTAGCTTATATCCTTGTCCTCTACCTCCCTTCCCAATTTGGAAGAGTTTTTCTTCCCATTTTTTCGCACAATAGTTATAGCGGAAGGAAGTAGTTTTATGGCTGCTTTTTGATTGGACAAGTCTAACTAAATATTTCGAAAACTTCATAATGAGGAGGGAAGGTTTTCACGACTCGCTCCAAATTTGATTTTTTATATACATAGATAGGTTAGACCGAAATTCCAATGGAAATTTGAAATATCCTACAACCTAATTGTTAAATACACCTTTTCTGCAATCTAATCCTTTTTTTCTTCTCAAAATTAGATGTAGTGGAAGGAAGTAATTTTATTTGCAGTTTTTGATTGGACAAAGCTAATCAAATATTTCAAAACTTCATAATGAGGTGGGAAGGTTTTCAAGGTTCCTTTGCAAATTTTATTGTTAGATTTAATCCAAATTTGAGTTCGCCTAACTTCAAATGGTTGTGAAATTGAAATTATTTGGAGATAAATATTAGCTTATAACTAATCCCATCTCATTTGGCTGAACATGTTGATCTTCGGCTTTAGCAGATCATGTTAATCTCCTTTGTAGCTATCCTATCTCACCTCTGGTATTCAATTCAAAGCATCACAGTGGTCTATCTTACAGCATCTCCAACCCCGACTCAAATGTAGACTAAAATTTGAGTCTTATTTTGAGTAAAGAACACTCTAGGGACAAAATCAAATACTTATTCAAATCTTTTAAAAATTTATTTATTGTCCCAAAACTCATTTTTTTTAATTTTTTCCACCAGAATATTTTATCCTCTCTGTTTCTTCTGTTTCATTCTTCTAGTTTATTAACCTAACATCATGCATAACCTGCATACCATGAAATCCAAAACACAAACATATTCAAGTAATCTCACCGTTTCAAACAAAAAACCACTACAATAATTTAAAAAAACATAACACCAGTTTCAAGTAGTACTATTTTCTAGTATGCAGCAAAAGCATGTGGCACTACCAAGTGGAAATAAAAAAATAAATTAATCCAAAACGGCTATGAAATATTTTTTTTTAAACATACTATGAAATATTAAAAAGCAAAAAATTTTATTGATTCCAACCTCATCGTGTTTGATCTGAATAAGCCAAATAAACTAGTAAAACTAAAATAACAGTAAGTTAAGAGAAACAGTAATGAAGCGGAGAATACAACATCTATTTCCAATTATTTTCCTTCATTATCATAAAAAAAGCAATCAAAAGCTCGTCGACCAACATGGGTGTAAACAAATCCAATAAAAAATATGTCAATTTTTGGTTATTTTCTTGATAATTGACTATAATTTGCTAAAAATATGAACATAATTCCAAAGAACCCAATACAAAGTTGTGTCAAATGTTCAATTATTACTGAGATGTGTGAGACGAAGGTTTTAAAAAATAAAACAAAACCAAGAAAATGGAGATGAAGAGGAAGAAGCTTACTTATTGGTCTTCAAGAATCGTTCGGTGTAGTCGGTGATGGGGAAATTCTAAAGATAGATGCAGGGAGAGGCAATAAATTGTTTTGTTGAAGGAGTCTTTTTGGTTTAGATATGCAAAAAGGTACTGTTGGAAATTTGGTATAGAATTTGGGTCTCCCTCAATTCGGGTCCAGAATAAAGTTTTTATTAATTTGGTATAGATTTGGGTTTAAGGTTGGAGAGTGTTTTTAGGCCATTTAGACTCAAATTTAAATTTGGGTCTAAATTAGAGTTAGGGTTGGATATGCTCTTAGACCAGTGGATATAACAATCATCAAACTCTATCAGCATGAGCTCTTCTTCAACCAACACAAGGACCTTTTCAAACCGTCCCTTCCCTCTTCACTTTCCATCTTTTGTCGCCCACACTACCATCCCAACAACAAAGCCTACTGAAACAAATTACCAATTTGGCAATCTCAAATTATGCCACACTTCTGAGGCCATCAAGTTCTCAGATATGTCAACGGTTCCAATCCTTGTCCTCCTTAACACCTTACGTCTGATTCAACCAAGACTCTTAATCTCAAATATGTAGCTTGGCAACGGCAGTACCAAGTGCTCTTGGGTTGGTTTATTTCATCTCTAACCCAGGATGTTCACGCCCAAATCATTGGGCTCTCTATGTCTCATGTGACAATATTTGAAGCTTCTTATGCGGCTCACTTTCAAGCTTCTAACCTGAAAGAGGTGACAAACCATTGTCGACCGACCTGTATTTGATTATGATCTTTTTCTCTACATTCTTAGAGGTTTACCCTCTGAATATGGTCCTTTTGTACCTCTGGATTGATTCTCTCTATCTCACCGATGTACTCGGTCACCTTCTGTCTGAAGAATTTCACATCTTTCAAGATGCCATTCCTTTAGATGTCCTTCCACCAACACAACTATCCTGTGACTCCGGTCACACCAACAACTTTGCAATCATGATTCAGGACAATCATTTATCCACCATGCATGACTCTTGCATGGCTCAACATAACCGTGTCAGTAGTGGTTGTGGCCATGGTCATTCCTCCAACAATGGCCATTTTTCTAATCCTAAAATTTTGAACTCTCAACTCAAATCAGTGACCTATCGTGAAGTTTGTAGTTGCATTGGCCACACAGCGCTGCAATGTCGAAACGGCTACAAGAGGCCTTCCCCTACCCTGCTCGCTGGATGCCTACTTAAGCTTATAATGCTTCGGTGCAATATGCTCCCTTGGATACTTAGAGTCCCGACTCTGGCACCACTCATCACTTAATTGGCGATTTATCCAATTTGGACATCTCCGATTACACTGTTTCTACTACAGTAATTTTCAGTAACGGCACAAAGTTTGGCAATATCACACACTGCCTCCTCCACATTTCAAACTCCAAACTCTTCATTTGTCTTATGTGATATTTTACATGTTCTATTGTTTTAACTAATCTTTTTTCAGTTCAAAAATTTGTCTCGGTTAATAATTGTTGGGTTGAGTTTCGCACAATCTCATTTTTGTGTTATAGATGTTAAGTGTAGATAATTAACACAATATTAGAGAGTAAACAGAGAGTGGTTAAAATTTAACCTAGCTTTTATACATTACTTGTATTTATAGTTAACTCACACATACACCTTCTTGTATTTACACATAATACCCTAACACTATTTACACCCTCTTGTATTTACATATACTACCCTAATACTCTTAACATTCCCCCTCAAGTTGGACTATATATATCATATAATCCAAGTTTGAAACAAATCGTTATAAGACGTGTACGACTCAATGTTTTAGTATACATATCTGTAAGTTGATCTTCAGATTTTACAAATGGAATCTCCCCAGCTACTATTTTGTCCTGAATAAAGTGACAATCAACCTTAATATGTTTGGTACTCTCGTGAAACACTGGATTGACAGCGATATAGATAGCTGCCTGGTTGTCACAGAACAACTGTAAAGGAGGTTGAACTGGAAACCCAATTTTCTAAAGAAAGTGTAATAGCCAAGTCAACTCACTAGTCGTATACGCCATTGCCTTATACTCAGCCTCAGCATTGGATCTTGCTTTCATAGATTGTTTCTTACTTTTCCATGAGACATCGTTACCTCCTAAGAAAGTATAATAATCAGTAGTTGATCTCTGATGAGAAGGAGAGCTAGCCTAATCAGTATCTGAGAAACCTTCCACTCTAAGATGTCCATTAATTCGATATAACAGTCAAAGTCTAGGAGTTCGTTTGAGATATCGCAGAATACGAGTAACTGCCTCCCAATGTAGACACTCCATGAACTAATTTACTATACTGACTACATAGGAAATATCCGGTCGAGTAATAGTGAGATAATTAAGCTTTTCAACCAATCTGCGATACCAACCCGGATTCTCAAACAGTGCACCATCATTCATCAATAGTTTCTGATTCGGATCCATAGGAACATCAATCGGTTTGCCACCCATCAAACTTGTTTCCTCTAGCATGTCAATTACATATTTCTTCTATAATAAACAAATATCCTGTTTAGATCGAGCCACTTCAATTCCTAAGAAATACGTGAGTTTTTTCAAATCCTTAGTATGAAATCGATTTTACAAAAAGATTTTTAACTTGACAATCTCCTCAGAATCATTTTTAGTAATCACAATATCATCTACATAAACTACCAATAGAACATATCCAGCATCCGTCTGTCTATGAAGCACAGAATGACCTGTCTGACATCGAAGAAGACCAAACTCTAAAACTGCATTTAAAAACTTACCAAACCATGCCCTCGGTGACTGCTTTAAACCATATAAAGATTTTTTTAACCGACATACACTCTTACCATACTCCCCCTGAACAATAAACCCAAGTGGCTGCTCTATGTATACTTCTTCAACCAAGTCACCATGTAGGTTGATATTTTTGATGTCTAACTGAAACAAGAGCCAATTAAGATTAGTAGTCAAAGAAATCAAGATACAAACTGAGAAAATTTTGGCAACAAAGAGAAAGTTTCCTCATAATCAACACCATAGGTCTGAGTAAAGCCTTTTGCAACAAGTTAAGCTTTGAGACGCTCCACAAAACCATTCGGATGAAATTTATCAGTATACACCCAACAATAACCAACAATTCGTTTACCAGGGTATAAAGGAATGAGATCCCAAGTCCCATTATGATGTAAGGTATCCATCTCATCCTCCATAGTTTTCCTCCAATCCGAATTAGATAATGCATCCTGTAAATACTTAGGAATAGATAAAATAGATAATTGAGAGGTAAAACAAGAGAAGACAGGAGACAAGACATCATATGAAACAAAATGAGCAATATGATGATTAGTAACATACGAACAAGTACCTTTTCGAAGAGCAATAGATAAAGAGTCTAAATTACCTGATGGACCAGGATCAGAAGACGGCAAGGAAGACGATATGGACACTTCAGTCGATGGTCGAGGACGACGAGAGTATACATGAAGAGGTAAAGTAAATAGTATCACAGTGGGCAGCGGATAGCCGAATATCTGAAGATGAGTGAAGTGATGGTGGTACAAGAGATGACCCAAAGTCCAAATCCATAGGCTGAGAAGGTGCTGGAAAATATGGAACAAATTCTCCAAACGTGACATCGGCACTAGTAAAGTATCGT